TCATTTTAGTGACTACATTATATTTCATCTGGAGAAGTTGCCAGTTCTTCAGCCATTCCCTTGTCTGGGAACATTTAGCTGGTTTCCCCTTTTTCATGATCAGAATAAATGACACTACAGTAAGCATCTTTGTACATCAATATTTGCCCACATTTCAAAGTGTTTGATTATCTTCTCAAAGTCTTCAGATGAACGTCATCGAGAACACCCACACCCCACCTGAGCACCTTTTATTCAAAAGAGGGTCCTGGGTGTCGTGCGTCTGGCGCGTTTGCAAGAACCATTTCCTATAAGAAAGGAAGTGCTGGTTTTAGAACTGCTCACACCATCCCTAACTGCACTTACAGGAGGTGACACTGCAGAACGTTACGTTACAGGTGGCAGTACAGAACTGACTTGAGAGCAGGCGATGGCGCTGCAGGTCAGAGTGACCCTGTTGTGCTGGCTTGCTTCCATCGAACTTTCTCTGATTGACTTCTGGGAAGCTCTTGGTCGATGAGGTACCCACAAGTCCAAATTTAAGTATCTTCAATCTCTGGTCCCCTATAGGAGCAATTTTCCATTGAAACGTTTATATTTGCCCAAAACTTAAATGCTAATGAATGGGTTTCCACCGCTCAGATCCCATAGGGGCCGTGCTGAAGACTGGCCTCTGTGGGAAAGCCTGGCCCTTCTCGTCCCCGTGGATTCGAAGAGCGGCCCGCGGTCTGGCCCAGCCACGGCCTCTTTCCTCTGGCCCTTGGGGTGCTGCGTCTCGCGCCCTTTCTGTGGGACTTCGTATTCGCAGTGCCGAGTCAGCGCCTGCTGACGGATCTGTGTGCGTTTGCTCCTCGCTTCTTGATGCCATCCTTTGAAGTGTGGTGCAAGGACCTGGCCGAGCCCGTGCTTGACGGGGCGATCTGGCCAGGTTTACTGTGTCTCCATGGAAGGTTCCCTTTTTCATTGAATAAGAGAATGATTTTCTCTTTGTTTTCTTGACTGTGTAATTTATGTAACATCCTAGGGGACTTGGTGGAGATTGGAGCCAACGTTTGCAATCTAGACAGGGAGAAATTTCAAAAGTGAATATGACCTTCTATCAATATGACCAGTATTGTTTCCTGATCAGTACAGCAGTTGTAAGTGCACAGTTTCATGAGTTCTGACAAACACAAACAGTAGCATAACCGCCACCACACTCAAGATACAGAGCGAGGAGCTTCCCGTATGGGCACATGCTTTCATTTCTCCTGCGTAAGTACATCTCAGATCGGGACTGCTGGGTCAGGCGGTGGGCGTGCACTTAGCTTTATAAGAAACTGCCAAACTGTTTTCCAAAGTGGCTTTGTCATTTCGAGTGACTTTTGTTCATAGCTCCTTTTAGTGTTTCTTTTCTCTACCTCCTCACCTCCCTTAAAAATGTCCCTGTCCCTCATGATGTGTGTCATTCTTTAACCAGAGACAAGGCCAGAGTCTGTGCATTGAGGAAGAAGCGCAGGACTAGAGGGGGTGGACCAGGTGTACCCACATGACCACTAAGGAGGGAGGAGCACAGGACTGAGAGATCCTTCTAGAAGGATTTTGGAACCTCAAGTTTTTCTTCTTCCAGCGACTACAGTGACACCAATAACTTCAAGTTGCTTGAGGCTGACCACAACTTTCAAAACACTTCTACATAATTAGATTTGATCCTCGCAATAACTCCGTGGACTGGTGTGCCGTCACTGTCTCCATTTTGTAGATGATGAAACTGGATTCAGAAAGTGTGCGTGGGTTTCGCAAGGTCAACTGCTAGACGGCAGGAGAACTGGAACTGGGCCTCCCGTTTCCTGACCACTGCTCCTGGGCTTTACCTGCTGATAACGATTGTAGTGACCCCGGATTGACCCCAGGTGCTGAGCTAGGGCTGTGCTCTCATTACCCGGTTTGCATGTAACCAACGGCTCTGGACCGCGAGTCACTCAGGTGGCTTGCCTGGAAATGCGTAGCAGTGGCTGGCTGGACTGGACCCAGGGCCTCCGACCGCAGGTCCTGTGCTCCCGCACCTCTCCACGTGGAGAAACAAATGTTCCCTTTTTACCTACAGAGAGAAATGGAGAAGCTGGCACTTTCTCCTCGACCAGATGCCTAGTGGACTTAGGCCGGTCAGGTTAGGGTGTGGGTGTGAAGGACAAAAGCCACACTGAAGCACCGAGACCCAGTTGTGGACATCAGTTAGTTATCTGCGATTGTCTGGGCAGGAGAGGGGTCTCTGGGCTGACGTGGTGCTGAGGTAGCACTGAGATGATGGGCAGCCTCCCTGAGCAACATGGGGCTGGCGCCTCCACCCACCGTTGGCTGTCTGGGCAGCGTGTCCGAAAGCCAGCCTGTGGTCACTCCCCATCCTAGGATCAAAAAGCAAAATTAAAAACAACAAAAAAGAGGGGAAAAAAGCCTTCAGTTATATTTTAGTCCAGTTCCACACGCCGCTCTGCCCGCCTGTACAAACCATCACCCGGTCCTGTCGGGCTTTACCGCTGAGATACCTCTTAAATCACTTCACTCCGCGCCGGCCCCCGCCAGCACGCCGGACCAGACGCCGCGGCTCGTGGCTGCACCTCGCATCTCTCCACGCTCTTTGCCTTCTGCCCGCCTGTTCCCCACGCTGCAGCCAGAGCGATCTTTTGAAAATGCCAAGTGTGATTGCGCCAGCACCCTCCCTGATTAAACCCCTTCAGTGGCATCCCCCTGTCCACGTGGTGGCCACAGTCTTTAACGTGACGCACCTGACCTCCCTCGCCCCTGCCTGCCTCCCGCCTCCTCCCTCCTTCCCGCCGTGGCAGCGCCGGGACCAAGCGGCCTCCCCGAGCAGGGCCGACTCCCGCTGCCGCTCAGTCTCATGGAGGCCTGTGCTGCCCTCAGACCGGCTCACGCCACGTCTGTGCTCTCATGACGCTGCGTGACGCCCTGTCTCCGTCCCGCACAGCACTGGTCACCAGGGTATAGTCATGCGTGTGTGTTTACTTGGTTAGTGTCTGTTTTCCTTCACTGTCCTGTAGGCCCCATGCGCCAGGCCCACATCCGTTTTTGTTCATCACTGAATTTCTCGTGGCTGCCACGAAGAAGGTTCTTGATATTTGCTGCATATTGCCCCGATCTGCCCTATTGGCAAGCTAGCCTACAAAAGAAGATTTCATCAATAATTTGTTCATATTTTAAGATAGATAATATTGGCCCAAAACGTTTTTTATTTTGATTCTCACGTATAGTGTATCTGTCTTTTTTTTTTTTTTTTACTTTCTTTAGAGACAGGGTCTTGCCTGTTTCCCTGGCTGGAGTGCAGTGGTGTCATCGTAGCTCACAGCAGCCTCGAACTCCTGGGCTCTAGGGGTCCTCCTGCCTCAGCCTCCTGAGTAGCTGGGACTACAGGCGCCACCACACCTGCCTAACTTTTCTGTTTTTTGTAGAGATGGGATCTCGCTTTGTTGGCCAGGCTGGTCTCAAACTCCTGGTTTCAAGTGATCCTCCCACCTCAGCCTCCCAAAGCTCTGGGATTACAGGTGTGAACCACTGCACCTGTCTCCATCATATTAATAAAGTACTCTTTTGGTGGAATCTTGTCTTTTGCCTTTAGAGTAGTCTTTTCGTTTATCTCACTTGGGATGTGAATCTCCAGAATCGCATAGGCCGAAAATCTTGGAAAACGGCAAGATCCATCAGCGTGTAGTTGCTGTTTCATTGTGTACCTGTGGCTTGCAGACATGCATGGTGCTCAGTGTATGTTTGGTGATTTGTTTATTACATATTCTTTTCATTTGAAAAGCGTGTAACCACAGCATACAATTTTGAGAGGAAAGGAAAAAAGCCTACCACTCAAACTCAATCTCTGTTATGATTTTGGCATATTACCTTTTTGTCATTTTTAACATTGCCATAATCACAGTGTACATAAAATTTTGTGTACCGGTTTTTTCCCCTAAATAAACTCATGGTTGATGGGTCAAAGCATTATATTGTATATGGCATGGTATTTATTCAGTGCAGTTCAATAAGCATTTACGAAGAAACAGACTGTGCTAGGCACCATTCTGTACGCTAATACCATTCAAAGAAAATACACAGATTTCATCCCTTAGCTATCCAATAATAGAATACCATAGTTTTGGAGCTTTTAGTGACATTTTTATTCACGGATATATTTTGTGGCATCTCCTCTTCGTCCCAAAAGGTGTGGGGGGAGGGGCTGCTCTTTACCACGTCAAGGGAGGCCTCCCTTGATGGTGACATTTGACCTAAGTGGAGGGAAGAAGGGGCCGCGCGGCTGTCGGGGAAGATTCTTCCTGGCAGAGTCGTCCCAGGCACAGAAGCCCTGAGGTTAGAGCGTGCTTGGTGTGGTCAAGGAATAGGAGCCAGTGACGCGGCGCAGAACGAGGGGAGGTGGGTGGGTAGGAGCCGACGCCAGTGAGCTGGAGTCTTTGTCACCCTCTGAATGAGTGACTTTGCACTGGAGCTGGTAACTTCTTCCAGACACATGTGCGACGTGCTCATGAGGGCTTGTTCCTCACGTGGAAGTGTGCGGGACGGTCCCTGGCCACACCTGTGGTGTCACAGTCAGATCTGGTTGTCGCCGTTCCAGGAAACCAGGCACATTCCACATGCTTGAAAGACTGTGTAACCTAAATTTCTCATTTCTTTATCTTTTACTCATTTGAGGCAGTTGTTCCTCTCTGAAAGTAACAACCAAATGTTTTTCAAATTGCATAAAATACTTAACCTAGTGAGACTTACTATCTATCTACCAGTCTATAATTACTAAGCATGCTTCAACCTCTGCTAATTCTAGAAACCAGGTTTTTTTTTGTTTTTTTTTCTGCTGGGGGACGGTTTTCCTAATTACAATCTGTCCGGGATTGCTTTATGGTAGATCTATCCCATGCCAAAGTCAGATCCCATTAGCAGGCTTAAAACATTCATTTCAGAAAGAACAAACTGTTACAGGTTGCTTAAGGTAACTGATGTCTTTTGTTTTCTTTCTGTTATAGGAGGAGACATCACAGCTTTCCCAGGTTGGGAGGAAAAATATGGAATGTGTTTTACCGCTGACTGAACACAACCAAATGAACTGTACTGACAGTAGTTTGAAAACCAGCAGTTAGCAGTTTGTTCAGGCTCTAACGTTGTCCAGCACTTTCCAGAGCAAACTCACTGTTTACAAGAACTCTCAGCCTTACAAAGTTTAAAACCTCAAGCTTTGTTTATTTAAAATATTTCAGCAAAAGAAAAGTACCTGGAACCCACTTTCTAAAATGGCCATGGATGAGTATTTGTGGATGGTCATCTTAGGCTTTATCATAGCTTTTATCCTGGCATTTTCTGTTGGAGCGAATGATGTTGCCAACTCGTTCGGCACAGCCGTGGGCTCTGGCGTGGTGACCTTGAGGCAGGCATGCATCTTGGCTTCGGTATTTGAGACCACTGGCTCCGTGTTATTGGGGGCCAAAGTAGGAGAGACCATTCGAAAAGGCATTATTGACGTGAACCTGTACAACGAGACGGTGGAGACCCTCATGGCGGGGGAAGTCAGCGCCATGGTCGGTAAGTCGCTTTCTTCTTTATGCCAACGGGACACACCCGTCCACCGCCGATTCCATACAGCACTTTGGTCATATCCATAAATGTGATTTTTGCTTTGACTTTTCAAAAACGGGTTCAATGTTTTATATTTACTATCTTATTTTTGCTCTCGGTATATTAATTTGATTGTGATTTTTAAAGCATTTAAATATCAAGCAAACATTTATTGTCTCAAAGTTTTAGCCAACTTAGTTGTTAAAATAGATTTTGGATAAGTGGATACTTTTCATAAAGTACTGAAAAAGATCTTTGTAGAATAGCTTTTTATCATTTTAAAGTTATTTGAGAATTATTAAAGAAATAACATGTCTAAGTGAATGTGTTTTAAAGGTTAACTTATGAAATTTCCTTGAACATTGATTTGTGTTTTTCCTTAAGATTTTTCATCAATTAGGACACAATGTTTTGAAAACTTGGATGTCAAAAAATAATATTTATTAATTTAACTTTTATATTCTCAGTGTAAGTTCTCAGTTAAGATTCAGTTACTAAAGGAATCTTACTTAAGTGCTTACGTTTCAAGAAATTCTGGTCTCCTGCGCTATTTGTGATCCTTTTGCTGGCTTTTGTTTTGATTTTCTGATTCCACCTCTGGGAGCTCCATCTGGTATGTTTGTTTTGTTTTCTGGCCAAAAAATAGTATGTCTGTCACCTGGTTATAGTATGGCCTTTTACTGGCAGTTCTCAGTGGTCTAGATGAAGAGAAGCACTGCAGTGAAGGATGGTGTGACCAAGCAGACTAGCGGGTTGGTGTGACTCCCCCCCACACAAGGTGGCACAGGCTCGCAGCACCCCGGGCTGCTCCCAGCATGCCCTCACGACAGCCGAAGAGAACATTCCAGGCAGAAATGCACTAGGTGCAGCTGACAGGACTCTTTCTCTGCTTGCCTTTAGGCAGAGAAGCCGTCAGAGCAGACAGCTGGTCTGTGCGGGTAGTTTGGCTGGGGGAAGAGGGCTAGAGAGGAACTCTCCCACTTCTGCCTTCCACAGGACATATCCTTTTGTAGGAAGAGTCCTGCAGTGGGAGGTAAGATGCCCAGGTGCCAAGAATACAGCCACATTCCACAGGTCCCTAGTGATTTATTTGTCACCAGCATTTGTTAAGCACCCAGAAGGTGGCAGTTATTTGCCAAACTTAAGATGGCCCACTCTCCTTTTGTTACAGCAAGTTAGTGTGAGAAGTTGTTGAGGCATCTGGCCAGAAGCCACATGTGGACTACGAAGAGAGTGGATACGTTACCAAGCAGGCTGGTAACGTGCGCTAAAGCGTCCCTGTTTCTCAGCGTGACGTCTCGTGTTGTACAGCTATGAGGTTCAAGGTCACTTTCGTTCCCGCGGCTGTTGGCATTGCTGAATTTTACTCCCCGTCACTGAACGTGTATTTCTCAGCACAGTCAGATGTGATTGAAATTCCCCTTAGAAATGTAACCATCACGTGTTAAGTTCACTCTTGATAGCCGTGAGGATACCTAAGATTTAACTCTGGCAAGCGGAAATTAAGATTTTTTTCCCGTCAAGATGATGCGGGTGAGATGTGCTGAGAGTATGGCACGAGTAAAGGAAAACACTGACAAAATTAAATCTTAACTGGAGTTTTCCTTTTGTTGGGTGAAACTTCGAGCGCTGGCGGTGCCTGTTTAAGTCACTTGCCAGCCAGGCTACGCCGGGCACCTCCGTGCGATGGAAGTTTTCTGAACTGAGCTTCGTGTCGCTGACTTCTCGTGGGGACAGGACAACTTGTCCAGCTTTTCAGCTTTCCCATCCCTGGCCTGTGGCTCTTTCCTGAAAAAACGAAGGATACTTACCTCAAGTAGAATTTGGGTTTACCAAAGCAATTTGAGGTTTTGCTTGAATAACTTGATTTTGTTTGCTTTGGTTTCTTTTTCTTATTTTCTTGGTATGTGGTTAAACGAATCTCAAAGCCTATTTTGTTGGGAATTTGTATGAGCTAACCCAGATTTTTAAGGTTGGGTTCTTTGCAATGGGGGCTATGTCATTTTAAGACGGTGGTATAATTACTATCAGCCAAAACCAAAGCGCGTCTGTCCAGGTGCCGGAATTCTCCGTCTTCCTCTTCGAAATTCAGCATCCACTTCTTCTACTCCCTAGACCTGCCCTTTATTCTCTTCCGTTTGATTCTTGTCTTTTTCCTTCGGTGACTTCTCCCCAGGCCCGTGGGCCTCTGTGCGTTCTGGCGGCCGTGCGGGAGAGAGGGGCGGGTGGAAGGAGTCGCCAGCCAGCTAGATCTCCCGAACTCGCCGTCTTCCGAGTCTCGCTCGGCCCTGGGGCAGGCGGTCCACTTGTTCGGGAGCCAGCGGTGGTTCCAGAAGTCTGCTGGGAATCCAGCACTCCGCGTCTCCCTGCAGAAATACCCACTAGCGTGAACTCGCGTCTCCCTGCGCCACCTTCTCTGCACACCCAGAACTGCGGCCGTGCCAGCCACACTCTGTGCGGCCTCACACCCCCGTCTGCCTCCCTGGAGACCCCGAGCTGCTCTGCCATTTCTGTCACCTTCCAGGGACAGTTGCCTTGGGGCTGCCTATCTCCCCCTTTCCCTAGGTTTTATTGTCTCGCACCCCGATCCCATGCTTAATCCCTTTCCTCTGTAGGATGTCATTATCTTACACTGAATTATCTCTTTCTTTTTCCCACTGCTCTTCCTGACATCGAATGTTCCTGAGGTTGGGAGCTGCCCCGCTCCCAGGCCCCAAGCAGGGATTCCTGCCTCATCACCCTCCTCCTGCTGCTCCTCCACCCTCCCCACCACCCCGCTCTCCTTCCCTCTTCCTCCTGGAGGCAGTCCCGTACCCTGCCTCTCTTGACAAGCTCCTGCTCCAGGACATACTTTGTAAAGTCAGCCAGAGAAAGGATAGCCACTGTCAGGAAGGAAAAATCTCAGGGTCTGACTCCACCTGGGGAAGTTTATTCCATTCTCTTACGTCATTAGATTATTTTAATTGCTATAAGAATATGAATCGTGTAGTTTACTTTCGAAGTTACAGTTCTGTGCTATGAAACGTGCTCCAAACTCTGGCTTTACTTTTAAAACAACTAGTCCCCGCGGAGCCCAGTCTCAGATGTGGAGGCTTAAGGGGCTTGTCCGTGGGGACCTGGTGCTGCCACCGAGCCTATTACCAGTTTGGTGGCGCAAGGCGGGCCTTCTCCTCCCAGCACATGCTCTAGGGATAGACACGGGGTCACAGCCCACACAGCTCAAAGGTCAGCACGCCGGGCACCCATGGGAGCAACTGTTCATGTTGCTTCACAAACTGGGACCATTTACAGCCATGAATGATCCTTCTGCAACTCAGATATCTTTGAAGGAATGGCCAAGAGTCTGCTTAAAATGGTTGCTGCTGCCAGGCAGCCAGGTTTCCAGAATTAACATTTTGGATTAATACTGTGCCCACCTTATCGGCCAAACCCTTTGTTCCCTTACAGTTCTGCAGCGCTTTTCAGCAACTGTTTCTGAAAGTGATCTCTCCCAGCTGATGCTTTTAATACTCACTGCAGAATTTGATCTGCTTATGAAAATACCTGAACTGAACTACAGCCCAGAAAAACACTCAGCCTGGAAGAGAGTGGTGGGATTGGGGTGGAAGGACACGGGCCCAGACTAAGGGATCGTCTTAACAACTAAGCGAAAGCTCTTTCCAGCGCGTTGCCTTTCTCATCTTTCTGTGTTCCTCTAGAGCCTTTAACTCTTTTGCTTGGTTTTGCCCAAACCTCACTCAGAACAAGCTCATCACCAGCACCCTCACCTGAATGTGACAAGAGGTGACGTGTCTTTAGATACAGAATCACGGCTGTCCCCTCCATGTTGAAGAAGGGATAGTTGTTGCTTCCAGCACAGTTGAGTGATTTTTGTCAGGACTGGAGCACTTTGTGAAGAAACAATCTGCAGGAAATTAAACCCAGGAGATGTTGCAGAGAACGACAGTTTGGATTTTCCCCTGTGGTTGTCTGAGACTCTCCACTCTGTATCTGATTTTTTTTCTTATTTCGTTCCGTAGGTTCAGCTGTCTGGCAGCTGATTGCGTCCTTCCTGAGACTTCCGATCTCGGGAACGCACTGCATCGTGGGCGCCACCATAGGCTTCTCGCTCGTCGCCATCGGCACGAAAGGCGTGCAGTGGATGGAGCTCGTCAAGATCGGTAACTGCCATTTTCTTTTACCTGTAAGGAGGAAAGTTTACCTTTTCTAGAGTAAGTTTTATTAAATGTGACTTTTATATTTTTTCCTTCAAATGTTGAGGTTTAGAAGACCTATATGGTGTGGGTAATGCATTTTCCCTTAAAATTTCTGTTACCGGAGATGGTGAACTGTTATGTGTTAGATGGTTTTTTAACTCCACTCTTTTAAGATGTTACATTGTCAGCTAGCTTTGAAAATCACTCTCTGTTCTTCTCACGCAGAAGAGAAATTTATTTGATCGAAATCAGTGTGTAGGTCAGAGAAAGACAAGGCCCCAGGAAGGAGGACGGCACAAATCCAGGAGTCACGGTGCTGGGGAAGCCTCAGTGAGCCCCGCGTGACCTCCCTGCGTTCGAGGGGTCTCCAGTCTGGCTCTGGGGAAGCAGCACCCTGCCTAGTGTTCCTTCCGGGTTCCAAGCCTGCCTCATTTTAAGGCCTAAGAACTTACCTCCTGGAGGTAAATCCATTCAACCCCGTAAGCAGCAACTCATGCATTGTGAAAAATACTCTTATGCCATCTCCATCCCCTGGGTTACTCTTTTTTTTTTTTTTTTAACCAGAATCTCAGTGGTCTTGGAGCTCTGGATCAACTGGATCCCTCACCTGCCAAACAGGGACACAGACCACCTGGAAAATCACCTTATATCCCAGGCTTCCAGAAGAGTGGTTCTCAACTCTGGTCGCACTTGAGAATTACCTGGGGAAGCAAAGCCCAGACCCCATCGCAGACCTTTTAAATCAGAATTCTGGGGGTGAAGCGAGAGTATAACAAGTTTTTCAAAACTCCCCAGATGGTTCCAGTGTGCAGCCAGAGTTGAGAACTACTTGGCTGGAGGCTCAAAGTCTCAAGGTTCCCATAGTCAGATGTCAGGAATGAAAGCACCGGGCTGGTCTTGGATAATGAAATGGAAGTTGGCCCATCTTTTACATAACCTTTACAGTTGGGACAAGGACAGGGTCTCCGTATGTATTGACAAGAAGAGAGGCTGGGGGCTCTGTGGGACACGGTCACTTGGCTGCGCACTGCTGGCGGGACCAGTTGCATGTGACTGCGTTCATGTCTGAGTGCGGCTGTAACGTGCGAAGGTCGGCTCTGCCCAGTCACAGGGCTTGTTAGGTTCTGAGTTACGGTAAACAATTCTGGGAATATTTATTAATGGATGTAATATATTGTGGTTATCATTGTATTCTATAAATATGGCCATGATTATGTGTGAATTTTAACATTCATTAGTTTTTTTTTTTAATTATTCAGTTGCTTCTTGGTTTATATCTCCACTGTTGTCTGGTTTCATGTCTGGAGTGCTGTTTGTACTGCTCAGAATTTTCATCTTAAAAAAGGTAAGTGAGGCTGTTTGGGTTTTTTTAATTAAATTTTAGAACCAATTTTGGTTCTACTCAATAGAAATTAATAATGAGAGGGATTAGAGGAATAATTGTATTTATACATTGTTAAGGCACAGCACCCTGGAGTTAGAGTCAGATATTGTTATAAATAGACAGAAAGAGCTAAGGTAGATTACCCAGAGTCTCCCCCAGAAACCAACATGATAAATCGTGTTTCTTGGCTCTATGCTTTAGTTCATTAGTCAACACTCCTAGGAATTGTACTCAGATCTCAAAAAGGAAAGATAATTGTTTCCTGAATGTTACACGGAATAGAATGAGATCGTGTTAAGATCTTGAAATTGACTATCAATAAAAACAGCTGGAAAATTTTCTTACTCAAATGTAAAGGTGTTTTCCTGTGTTGTTTTTTTTAATGGAGAAAGCAAGCTTGAAACACTGACTCAACTTGAGGAAAGGATAAAAAGAAGAAAATAGACCTATTGGGATATATTTTGTCTTAAAAACTTAGAATTTACTAAGATCAGTGACCTGGAAACAAAACGCGATTGTCTTTTCTTATGACGGTCACGGGGCTGTTGCGGTATCTGACAAGCCACGAGGCCCGTCTGCGGTAGCCGCAGCGCGCACTGCGCACCTCGGGGACGGCCTTCCTCCCGCTGTCTCCTTGCTTGGAGGCGCAGCCCTTTCTCTTAGCCATGGCCTAGGCAGCTGCCGAAAGGCTCTTTCTCTTGGACAGTATGCACTTGCCGTCGTCCTATCTCAGCATTCCTTCTCCTGGGATTAGCCACGCTGGTATTTGTTTGCATCTTGGAAGGTGCCACCCTCTCCCCCCTGCCAGGCTCCACCCTTTTCATTTCCTCTGCCTGGATCCACCCTCGCCTGGCAAACTCCCACTCAGCCCTGACGTGTCACTTCCGAGGAAGCCTCTCCTCTCCTGCCCCCAACTTCCAGTCGGTCTCCCCTCTCCTACTCCTGCAGCCCTCTGTACCTTCTTGTTGCTGCACTTATCTGTGTGCTGTTTACTTCTTGCTTAGTTGCCGATTCACTGTTTGACCTTAAGGTCTGTGAGAGCAGAAACATGACTGTCGTGGTCACTTCAGTATTCCAGTGCCTGGCTCTGTGCTTAGCACTTACGAGGCACTTGCTGAATATTCGGGAAGAGAGAGTAATGGACGCTTAGATGGGCGGCAAATGAGGGAGGGAGGGAAAGAGAGAGAGAGAAAGGAACAGGAGGAAGAAAACACAGGTCAAAGGTGACATTTGTTGTTTGAGTTTTAAGAATAGGTTATTTAGGAAAACCTAAGGTGATTTAATTGAGAAGCACAAACTCAGGGCTGGCTATACGCCTGCACAAGCTATTGGCTGGCAGTCTTTCTCTAGCAACTATTGTCCCTAGGAAAATAATGCTTTGGAAAGCAGAGGCAGGAGGCACTTAAGCACCCTGGTGTTTTGTTTCAGTGCAGCCGAGGTTCTTTTCACGTGATGCCTCGCAGATGATAACACTGGCCGTGTCCCTCATCCCTGGCCCTGGCCCAGTAGTCTCAGCGTTTGCCCACCTCCCGGCCTGGTCCAGTGTGACTCTCACACAGCCGCGTCACTTTCTGCTCCTGCTTACACCTTACTACACTCAACTCAGGCCTCTCGATGACTGCTGATGGCTCCCTGAAACATCCCAGGGCGGTGTCTTGGTGGGGTGTGCTGCTCTGCAAACATGATGTGACTTCCAGGCGTGTTTGCATTTGGCAGTAGGTGTCTTTGAGAAAAGTCTCTGCTTATCCTTACTTCCGTAGTGCACATCAGGTTTTATATTATTTATTTACTTACTCACTCACTCACTTACTGAGTCTCGCTCTGTTGCCCGGGCTAGAGTGCCATGGCGTCAGCCTAGCTCACAGCAACCTCAGACTCCTGGGCTCAAGCGATCCTCCTGCCTCAGCCTCCCGAGTAGCTGGGACTACAGGCATGCGCCACCATGCCTGGCTAATTTTTCTATATATTTTTAGTTGTCCAGCTAATTTCTTTCTATTTTTTCAGTAGAGATGGGGTCTCGCTCTTGCTCAGGCTGGTCTCTAACTCCTAAGCTCAAACGATCCGCCCGCCTCGGCCTCCCACAGTGCTAGGATTACAGGCGTGAGCCAGCACGCCTGGCCTCACACGTCAGGTTTTAGACCCAATTTTCCTTTAATCATGGCAGGTAGCATGTTCATATAAATGTGCAAGAGTGTCCCACATAGTTATTAGAAGTTAGTCCCTTTTTTGATTATTTCAGCAGCATCCGTATGCCAGTGCTGCGTTGGGAGTCCCTAGCCCATGTGTTTGCTTCAGATTTCTCTGTAGGTCTGCTTAAAACTAAATTTCTCACATGCTCTCGGAAGTTATCGAACCTAAGACATGTACAGCACCATTCTTGTTGAAGTGTTAGATTTAGGGAATGTTGGAGTAACAGCCTAAAGTTCTAAATAAATGTTTTATTAGGCAAGGGACTGACAATTCTTTTTAGCTGTTAGTAGTTGAAAGTTAAATACTATACCTTGTGAAAAGATTTTGAAAATCATAGCACTGGGTAATATAGCTAAAATGCGTTGTGTGATAGGGTGCTGTAAAACCTGATAGTAATGCAATGATGTCTGAGTCACTTGACTTTCTTAAAGGACAGAGGTTAGAATATGTGTTGAGTGTAGGCGTTTAGGGCCAAACCTGGATGTAGCTAAAGTAGTGAGCTCCACACATTTTGAAAAAGTAGAGGCTGAGCTCTGGGCTTGGGTCCCCAGGAACTGACCTAACCTAACAGTCCTTTTCTAAGTCTGACATCAGCTCATGTGATTCTGGTGCATTAACGGGCCTGCTGGCCACAACAGTGGGCTCCTTGACGTCGCGTTTGTGTGGGAGAGATGGCCTAGCCAGTGCCATTTCTGTAGACATGAAGCAGATCGTGGGCAGTGACAACGGCAGCCTTTTTGGCCACACTGGGTTTTGGGAAAACTTTCTTGTAATAGCGTTTTCTGTCATTCTGCCTGTGTTGGCTGCAGCTGCTCCTTAAATCCTGACCCTCCGCTGTATCTCATTGTCCCGCAGGAGGACCCTGTTCCCAATGGCCTCCGGGCACTTCCGGTGTTCTATGCTGCTACGATAGCAATAAATGTGTTTTCCATCATGTATACGGGAGCCCCAGGTAAGAAATCCCTGGAAGCTGAAATCCAGCAGGCGAAGGTGCGTCAGATCCTAATAGTTTCAGTTTATTTGGTGCTGACATTGTTGTTAGTCCACGGCCAAAAGCATTACTCATGGTGTTTATGGAGTAGTAAAAACAGTAATAAATGCATTTACCTGTTGTAAGTTCCCAAGAGATATGTGAAGTACAAAAGCAGCAGACTTTTAAGTTTAAAAAAAATAAATAAACCCGCATTCTAGCCTTTACCCAGCTGTGTTGCCTTTGTAGCTCACTCAGCCTCTCTGAGCCTCAGAGCCTGGTCCGATCGCACACACCCGCAGAGCTGTGGCGGGGCCAGGGGTGTGAGGCGCCAGGTGCCACCTGGCACACAGCAGGTAGCAGTCCCCACATCTGTGGCACGGCAGGAGGCTCTAAGTGGCCACAAAGTAGAGATCCCTGGAAATTGCCAGGCCAGTTAATCTGGGAACTAGGAGCCATGCTTTGTTTTTTCAGATACTGAAACCAATGATGTGTTTTTTTTCCAGAATTACACTTTTTCTTCCCATTCTAATGGCTTTTGTTTTATAAGAGTTTGCAGGGTTTTTTTCGGGGGGGGCGGGTATTGGTTAAAAATTAATTCTTTTACATTCTGGATAGCAAAAGCAAACTTCTGTACAGTAGTCTTATTTGCACACATTTCAGTGCTGATGAACTCGTAACAGTCTACTAAATATTTCTGTACACGTTTTTGGTAGAAAGTGCTTCTCTCCGTGAGGTGCGCCTCCTATAGTCAGGTTGTGGACACCCCCACTGTTGTGGGGGTGTGGAGTCGACATGTTAGTTTGCGTTGTTTTTCGTCCTGTTAATGTCCTTTATGGTTTAAAATTCAGTTATTGGCCATATCTGACAGAAAAGTCTCCCACTCTGTGTTCTAAAGATGAGATTTTCGCCAAATGACACATCATGTCACAGTCGACAGTGCCATCTTCCACAACAGGTGAATTCTTACTACTTTCTCAAGCTAGGCTTTTTCAAAGTGATTGAGATGTTACTGTACTAGACATATCTAATTATATTTTGCATACTTCATTACTGAAAATAAAAAATATTTCTGTATGATTCTAACATTATATACCCTTTAACTCTGGTAGGTAGCGCTCACAGCATTGACCCTAAAGGCGTGAATGCTCGTTCTTGGGGCTCTCAGACTTTGGGTGGTTGGGGCGAGAGCATGTCACAGCTGCTTCCCTTGACAGGAAAGCGCAGCTCGAGAGAGACTGAAGCCTGGACCCAGGTAACAGCAGCCCAGTGTCCCTGCGCGCTTTGTAATTCATGGACTGTCAGATGTGTTTGTCACAGACTTTTCAAAGTGTTTGTGTCCCGTGATAAACGGAACAAGCCTCAGAGCAGCAGAGAAGCAGCAGCTCCATCCCGGGGAGCCCGCTCCCCGCCGCGGGAGGGCCCCAGAGCGTCTGCACAGCGCAGGGCGCCGGGAAGGCCCTGGGCGCAGTCGGGAGTGAGCCACAGCAGATTGCTCCGTCCTGAGCACCTTGCACGCAGCCCTCGCTCCTGATTTCACGCACGCTCTCCGAGCTCACGTTAACTGAGCAGGGCAGAGCCACCGCCAGAGGCCTCCGGGCTAGTGACGTGGAGACTGAGGCTGCCTGCAGTGCCAAGTCCTGGAAATAGGACAGGGTAGACATAGAATGATTTCTTGTTTTTCCTGCATTTTATTTTTTCCACCGTCTATTCTTCCTGGTTCTTCTTCCAAATGTCAGAAAATGACAAGTATGATTCTTTTTATAAAAATATGATTTTTTAAATATTTGGCCTATTTTTTCTATCTCTTCTTTTTCCTTTCCCCATCTTTTTGCTGTAGTTTGAGTGCACATTTGCTAAAAGAATCATCTTACCAGAAGAGTACATTATTCCAGGGAAAATTAAACCGTATAATGGATGGGACACTAAGACAATATGTAAATACTTCATAGGTCTGTCATGAGAAATAAATAATACAAATCTGTTGAGCTGAGCTTTACATGAATTAGTCCTCATAGTCCTCTGAACTCCTCCAGGAGATTGGCAATTTTGCTAACCCCACTTTAGGTGGGAAACTGAGGTATAGCAATGCTGAATACCCATGGTCATAGAACTAGTGAGATGCAGAACCAGAATTTGGACCAGGCAGTCTGGTCCTGACCCCCACCTAGGGTCTTAGTTATGGCATTGTAGCGAAACGTGAGATAGCTCAGGTGGAACATCCAGGATGGTACCTGGTACGTAATGTTACTGTTAATGACAATGAAAATTGCACCAGACAGGTGTGGTGGTGCCCACCTGTGATCCCAGCACTGTGGGAGGCCGAGGTGGGAGGATCGCTTGAGCCCAGGAGTTCAAGACCAGCCTGAGCAACATAACAAGACCCCATCTCTACAAAAAAACTAAAAAATTAGCCAGGCATGGTGGTGCACACCTGCAGTCTCAGCTACTTGGGAGGCTGAGACAGGAGAATCACTTGAGCCCTCAGGAGTTTGAGGCTGTAGTGAGCTATGGTGATGCCACTGCACTGTAGCCCGGGCAACAAAAAATTGCATCAACCTTAATAAATTCTGTCTTTTCTCTTAACTCTCATTAAAAATGTCTTCCAATATGTTTGGGAACCTGGCTATATGTTTTTTGTATATATTAGGAATATAGAAAACCTGTATAAGCATCTTGAAGATCATTATGCAGTTGAAGGACAGACAGTATTTCCCGTCCTAGAGTTACATGAAGCACTTTGGGCAGCTGTCCCATCAGGAACATACTGTCCCCTCACCTCCCTGAGTCTCTGTCCTCATCACAGAGTAGCGAGATGCTTTATGAAATCTCTGCCGAAGCCATAGCCGTGAGATAGCGCAGACGAGCGCTCGGCGCAGGGCCCGGCGCGCATCGCCTCTGGGTGCAGCTGTCCCCCAGTGTCCTCGGGGCTTGGCTCTGGGAGCCCCGTGGGTACCGAGATCTGCAGATGCTCTAGTCCCTTAAGTCAGCCCCCATGTCCGCTGAGCCCGGGGACACGAGGGCCCACTGCGTGTCAGAGGCTGTTTTGTTTCCATCAGTCATAACCAACCTCAGTCTTTCAGCCTTAAGTTGCCGGCAAATCCTGAGTCATCCTTTCTGTTTTTTCCACACATATTTGTATGGAAAATCTCTAGAGGAAGGTCATGACTCTGAAGGACCAACGATTTTGTTCCTCCAATGAGTCAGAGAAGGACTTTGCTAATGTTTTGATTCCTGGGGGATGTTTCTAGAATATCCAGTAGGTGAGTCCAGATGTTACTGTTCTGTGGGCACTGAGGGTCACCTTCTTCCCTTCAGACCAGACCTGAACTTCATTCCGCGTCCTCGCAGGGAGGATCCCTGCTTGTCCGGCTGTGTTGTAAACAGCCGTGGAGTCGTATTGGGTGGAGAGGCGAGCTGAGGAGTCACCTCAACGGTGTCCTGGCGTGTGCCCGCCCCCCCCCGCCTGTCCTGCACCCCTTCCAGCAGTTTCCTTCCTTTCTTCCTTAGAACATAGGGCCTCAGAGATGAAAGGAAAGAGTGAAATTTTCTGACAAAAATGAATAACAGCATTAATCTTACCCAGTTTCAGCTTGATGAAATTCTGATAAGTAGCATTTTTATGCATGGAAGTGAATTAAGTGGGGACGTGTTGGATGTCGAGTTACAGCGTTTTGTTCTGATTCCTGCCTCCCTCAGCTCTAAATTATCACCAAGTTGTTTATGTCTTAGGCTTAGTGTGATTTGTTTTACTTTGCATTTGACAGGACTTTTCTCAAGTAAAAGTCATTCTTATACTTCAAAGGCTAAGTTAGCACTTTAAAAAAATTGCCTTTGCATTTTTGTTCTTAAAAAAATGATCCGCAAGAACAAAAATAACTGTAAGAAATGAAGTACTTACTTGAGTTTGGATACAAGCCTACAGTTCGTTTTTAATGAAAAAGTCTTCAGTTGTGAGGAACCTGGTTTTCGTTCCCTGTCTGAACGCTGAGTGCTGAAATCCATCGCGCACTTGGAAGGTCGAAGCAGAGCACCCAGTTAGGTCCGGTGGGTCCACGGGATGTCTGAGCCAAAGTGGGATCCCTGAACCAGCAGCACCCAGCATCCCATGGTGACTGGGCAAGAATGCAGATTCTCAGGCCCAGCCCCGGATCCACTGAGTCAGAAACCCTACAGCCCAGCAGCCTGCGTTTCAACAAGGCCCTCCAGCGCGTCCACCGCACGCCGCAGTGTGAGAACCTCTGCTCCGGTGGCCTCTTTCTCCGTAACCATTGCTGCCTCATTATGGTTCTTACGTAATGGATGCTCTTAAAAGGTTCTAACTACCAACCTTTGCTCACTCTTTTTTTTTACCAGCAAATGAATTCTCAAATGAAACCAGACCTGGTTTCTGGCTTCCCCAGAGCAAGTCTGTACCTGGGATGTGGCTGCCCCTCCACCTCCTCCTCTTCCTCCACTTCCTCTTCTCCCTCTGTCTCTGCTTCCTCCATCTCCTCCTCTTCCTCCTCCACTTGCAGCTGCTTCTGATCCAGTTTCAGGGATATCGGAGCATCGACAACCCCACCGCCCGGTTGGCTTTGTCCTCAGGATCTCCGTGTTCCGCGTCGTGCGTGCGGCGCGAGCCGTGGAGAGGCCGGAGCCGCAGCCGCGCTGACTCCTCGTCGCCGATCGGCGAAGCCCGGGCGAGAAGAGTCTCTAGTTATCACCGAGGGCTGGATTCAAGACAGAGTGATTTAAATTCCCTTCCTTTTCAGACATATTATGAATGAACCCTGGTTTGAAGAAGCCGGTAATAGATGTAAAAAAAAAAAAAATCCTACTTATAGAACAAATTAGGAAATAGTAGTTTTTTATTTCAAAAGAATGCTTCATTTTCTTAAATGAGTTGCTTCAGGATTCCTGTTACATGGGTAACTCCTCTCGTGCTTTGATGATGTTGATCTAAAACAAAAAACATAACAAAAACTAGTAACTTAGTTATCAGGTAAGCAAGATAATAAAGAGTAATTCTGTGAAGGAGATAACCCTGTGTGCGTTGCCATGGGAAGGTATCCGCACCCTATTATTCTGTGACGAGTGAAACCACAGAGTAGCATATATAGTGTGTGATTCTGCTTCTGTTTCAAAAAAATGGAAAAAAAGGAACCCTTGCAGACTCTATTCTACACAGTGTTTGTACCTAGAAAGTGCCTGGGGAGGTCTGCGCACCAAATAGCTACCGTTGTTTCTCTGGGAAGTGGGTTCCAGAGGGGAGGGTGGTGAGGAACACTCGTGTTGGCGCATCGTGCGGTTTGTCCAGGACTGCTGGTATTTCCACAGTAAGCATGTGTTATTTATAAAATTAAGACGAGAGAGAAATCTGTGCTGTGAGTCAGTAAGAAGGAGGGTCGCGGGAGGGGATGGCGGGTGTGGGTGTGAGGAGACTAATGTGGCTAAAGCCTTATTGGTTCATAAGTGTGACTTTATAGTTTTCAACAATGAGTGTTACACGGTGAAGGACAAGTGGTACAACACAGGACGACAGTGGCGACTCTGCATTTTTATAAAAAGTTCTGTGTATTTCTTTCCTTACGTGACTTGAATATTCTTCTGGTCTTTTGGGGATTTGGAATAGAATTGTAAAGATGCTTGAGGTTAGAGCTAAATCACTATTCATTGTACTTTGCTGCTCAGAAAAAGAAAGGAGCTTGAGATGAAAGGCCATTTAGTGGCTGGGGCCGAGAGCCGAGACCCAGAGCTCCCAGCGCTGGTTCCTGGCAGCCACTTTTGGCTGAGTGCACGGGAGCATTCAAGCAGTGCCCTACTTCGTCGCCACAGAGGGAGATGACGTGCCATGGCTTACTGCCCTCTTACGGGGTAATTATTTGGAAACAATTTCAGATCTGCACCAGGGAGACAAATCAATACAAAGCACTTTTGTCAAAAATTTTGTCATGGAGAAGTCAGCCTTGAGTTTTTAGAAGAAAAAGGTTTTGCCTTAGATGCACGCTGATTGACGCGGGTACTTCTCTGTGCCGAATCTTTGTGCTGAATTGTTCTTTATCTGTGAAACGGGGTATTATGTATGTAGTCCAGTTCGAGCTGTATAACGCAAACATCAGTTTGCATTTTTATGTGTAGGATTTAAAAGTAAATCCTTGTGTTCTTCCAATGCTCCGTTAAACCATTAAACTGCTGGGATAACTTAGTTACAGCCCGGTCCGCATTCTGCTCCTGTGTCCCCTCTCACTCCCCGGAACAAGCCGCTGTTCTCCTGCGTTCCTCCGAGGCGTGGTTCTGCTCTGGTTTCCCTTCTTGTTTCTCACGACCGAGAGGGTGACTTTGGAGCTTCTGGCCATTTCACAGGCCACATCCATGGCAGGGGCAGGTGTGGTGGCAGAGGCACGAAGGACAGGTGACGCTGTGTCTCACCGGCCAAGCAAAGGATGAGAAGCCCTGTGCCTGACCTCAGTCCCTCCCTTCTGGCGTGGTCTTGGCCCTCCGGGCCCACGTGGCCTGCCGGGGAGCATGAAGGGCGCTTGGAGGAAGCACAGGGCGCAGTCCTTCTCCACTTTTGTGTTGGGCCCTGCTCAGCATGGATGGGAAAACACAGGGCCTCATAGCGAAAGTGTTCACTCGTTTTAAAAAATGTGTGTCCCAAGTTGTTTCTCTCTCCCTGCAGTAGGGAGGGCCTGCCTGTCGGATCAGGTTAACTCAGTGAAGCCCAAAGCAGCACAATTAACAATTTTATCATCAACAAAACCACAAAGGAAATAGGGAAAGCCTCTTACAACACCGTGCTTTGAAGCTGCAGGAGTGGTTGGAATTGGTGCGAGTTCGGTGTTGGTGATGAACGCTGAGCGCTCGGGTTGGCAGGAAGCAGCTCCAGGGGGCTCACTCGTCACGCGTGCAAACCGCTGACATGACGGAAGACGGCAGATGCAGAAAAGCCACGGCCACAGGCACAGCCAGCGAGAGCAGCCGAGGGGTCCCCGGGCAGCTCTCGGCTTCCGTGCGGGCGCGGAGGGCGCGGCCGAGAGGCAGCCCAGCGCACGGCTCCGTGACGCCGCCGGGCGTTCGGGAGCGGGACAAAGCGCCTGCCCTCCCCGCGACCTCTGAGCTGTGACCGAGCTGGGTGATGCTGGCTTTTGTGTTTCGTGTTTATACACATTAATGGTGACTCTGTCCATGGTGTTAGCTACCTATTCTTTAACCTCTCACACTGTCCAGATGTTTACTAGTACCTTAATTGCGTAACTGAGCTGGTTTGTATAAAATGGTTAACAATATAAATAAGCCTGCCTCGTTAAACCTTTATTTAATCTAAGAGCAAAGTTTTAAATAGTTTACTTCTTTAAATTAAAAAAAATTGTCTTTAATAATTTACAAACATGGCATTCTTACCGTGTATTTTAGAAGTTACCAGTGCCATTCCAATTTCCCCTCTCTCCATAGAGAGATTGGAAACCGTTGTATCTTTCCAGAACTTTTCTATATGTTCGCACATATGGCAGTAGTGTGGGAGTCGGGTGTTTTCTTTTTTAAACATACATTGGGCCACACTGTGCAGTGTCGCCAGCCGCCTCGAGCACTTCCTGGATTTGGGGCTGCTGTCCCCGTCAGCACGTGTGGGCCGATTGCATTTTTATGACTATGTACTATGATTATTGCACATTTCCGTGATGATGCCTATATCAGTTGTTCTGCAAGTCCTTACTACTAAAAGTGATGTCATGGTGGGTATTCTTGGACACACACACGCCTGTGTGTTCACGCCTGAGCGTGCGTGTGCGTGGAATGTGCCTGTTGGGGCCAGTGGCAGCAGAGGGACCAGACTCAGAGCGCTGACCTCTGGCAACGCTGGTCACGGTGCTGGGAACAGAGGATGTTCCTGAACTGTGTGACGTCCACCCTTTTGTTGGTTGCTGTAATTGTTACTTAATGTGCGTGATTAGATTTTAATGAAAAGTTTTTCTACATTGTAATTCCATAGATTAATGCTTCAAAGAAGAATTAAGTTGGATGGTTAGTGTCCTTTTAAAATATTTCTGTTTCTCAGCTGATTCCGAAAAAGGTCTGTGCGTGTGGTCAGGGTGTCGTGTCCTCTGAAGGCTGGGCCGCTGATGCTGAGGGACCAGAGAGGCAGCGGTGCCCCCGCTGGGCAGTGGCTATTCAGATACTGAGATAATATGTCAATGGCTTTAATCTCAACTTGATATGCTGTTCGTGCTCCATTGGCAAAATTTTAATAATTAGCTTACTAACCGGTTTAAGCACATACTCTTAAGACATAATATGTCTCAAACACACAGCTTTCTACCGCAAAAAGCATGACCTGTTTTTTTGGTTGAGACTTTTATTAAATACAAAATCCAGGTGATTAGTTCTAGATTTGGGGATGGAAAATCCACTGCTCTGGGGCCCGACCTCTCGGAGGAACCCAGTGACAAGGCCGCTGTTTGTTTTTCCCTCCAGTGCTGGGCCTGGTCCTGCCCGCGTGGGCCATCGTGCTCGTTTCCTTCGGCGTCGCGCTCCTGTTCGCCTGTTTCGTGTGGCTCTTTGTGTGTCCGTGGATGCGGAGGAAAATAGCAGGTATGGGCTGTTTTGTTCTTATGATTTACAAAAATGCTCCTGATTCCTGAGACTTCACAAGTGGTGTGCAGTTATCTTTACTGAGGGAGGAGGGGAGTATGGCCAACCTCGGCACGGACCCTGAGACACACACCCACTCCTCTGCCTGCCGGCTTCTGGCTGCTTCCCGGCTCAAGCTTTTTCTTGATAACTTGTGACCCAGGTGAGCAGTGGGGTCCTAGTTACCATGGGTAACTGGCAGTGAACTATGCAGTCGAGTTCTACCAGCCTGGTAAAAACATTGGTCTTCAGAGAAATGCAAATTAGCACCACTATGAAACATCATTTCACACCCACAAGAATGGCTAAAAGTAAAAAGACTAGTAATTCCAAGTGTTGGTGAAGAAAAATGATTAGAACTCACATACATTTATGCTGAAATGTAAATAGTAGAAGCATTTTGGAAATTTGTTTAATTCTTTCTTTATAAAGTTAGGCATACATTAGCGTGCGGCTCAATCATTTCACTCCTCGGTATTTATCCAAGAGAAATGAAACCATACATTCATAAAAAGAGTCGTACACGAATCTTATAGTCATAATAGCCAAAAACTGGAAAGAACCCAAGTGTTTGTCAACAGGATAACCAAATTGTGGTAAATTCGTACAACAGAAGACAACTCAGCAATCTAGGGAACCACTGGGAGACACGACAGCAAGAGTGACTTTCGCAGCCACCGCAGGAGAAGCCACACACCAAAGAGGACTACACTGTATGATTCCGTTTTCCATAAAATTTACCTAAATTCTTCATTAAATGTTTTATGGAATTTTCCATAAAATTTGAGAACAGGGGAGACGAATCTGTAGTGAGAGCCCTGGCTGCCTGGGACAGGCGGGGCGGGTGGGGAGAACGGCAGAGACCACTGCCACGTCCTCGTCCTCCTGGGGAGGGGCTGCCGGTGTGCTCGCTTGCCACGGGTCATGCACCTGTACGTTTAGGATGTGTGCATTTTATTCTATGTATTGTACCTCAATAAAAACAGTTTTAAAAAGAAAAAATATGACTTTAAAATCAGGCAGGGCTGTTTCCCTCTGACCAGCAACACAACTGAATTCGAAGCCTTCGAGCCACATGCTTTCACAGGGCTCTCAAAAAAAAAAAAAGAAAATATTTTCATTTGTCCTCAGAATGTGCCTCGTGTTTCAATATGGGTCTATCTGGAGTTGAAAATCCATGTTTCAAAGAAGATCAAAATAAATGAGCCCTATCGCATTCATGAATTGGAAGACTCAATAGAGTCGAGTTGTCAGTTCTTCTCAAGTTGATTTATAGACTTAGCACAATTTAAATAAAAATCCCAGCAGAATATTTTGTAGATTTACACAAGCTACTGTTAAAATTAATGTGGAAAACCAAAGGAACTAGAGTAACCAAAACAATGTTGAAAAGGAAGAATAAAGTTAGAGGACTCAGAGTACCTGGCTTTAAGACTTACTGTGAAGCCACCAGACAGCGTGTGGTATTGGGAAGAGAGACACACAGATTAATGGAACAGAATGGAGTCCAGAAATAGACCCGCACAAACGTGGCAAATAGAGTTTGACAAAGGGCTGAGGGCAGTTCAATGGGGAAAGGGCAGTCTTTTAAACAAACGGTGCTGGAACACTTGGACGTCCATATGCCAGCAAAAGAACCTTAACCTAAACCTTAGACCTTATTTTAAAAAATTAACTCAAGGCCGGGCGCGGTGGCTCACACCTGTAATCCTAGCTCTCTGGGAGGCCAAGGCGGGCGGATTGTTTGAGCTCAGGAGTTCAAGACCAGCCTGAGCAAGAGCGAGACCCCGTCTCTACTAAAAATAAAAAAATTAATCGGACAACTAAAAATATATAGAAAAAATTAGCCGGGCATGGTGGCACATGCCTGTAGTCCCAGCTACTTGGGAGGCTGAGGCAGTAGGATCGCTTGAGCCCAGGAGTTTGAGGTTGCTGTGAGCTAGGCTGACGCCACAGCACTCACTCTAGCCCAGGCAACACAGTGAGACTCTGTCTCAAAAAAAAAAATGAACCTTCAAATCTGCACCTTCCTTCTTTAGGCTCTAATGTCACAGCAGAGATGGACACTGTCCCCTATTCTGGCTTGCCAGGAGGCTTTTTGTATATATTTCTGTATATTTTGATATTTCCATATACTTACTGTTTTGTTATTTTATGTACAGACTAGTGGTTAAGGGCATGGACCACAGAGCCAAGCTGCCCATGTTAGCTCGGCTCTGTCTGCCCCATGTCGCCTGTGTGACCTTGGGCTAATGACTTAATCTCTCTGTGCCTCAGTTCACTTGTTAATAAAATGGAGAAAATAATAATATACCTGTCTCATGTAAATGTTAATTTGTGTTATCATCTTTATAAATATTAATCTTCTGTCATTGATTATAAGCACTTTGAGGTCAGAGATCTTTATGTACCTTTTTTTTTTTTGCATTCCCTGTAGTATATAGCAAATTTAGTTTTAAAAATCTATACATTTGACCATCTAGGTAGATACAGAGGTAGATGATAGAAATGGAGACCGTATGCGAGCATCTGCAGAGGAGCTGAGAGTTTATTTCCATCCCAGCTCCGTAGGTGAGAGCTCAGCAGTTTGCCCAGGGTAATTTGCAAGCAGCAAGACAATTAAATTAGCACCATTTATCAGATTTGATTAAAAAGAATACCATTGAGCTTTTTCAAAATCCCTTGATTCTTTGTAAAGTAAAGGATTTTTAAAACTAGTAGGATCTCCCTGTTCCTTTTGAGGAAGAGAATTTACTTATATCCTAGAATTTGGTAACCCCAAAAAAATCTGAGACCAATAATTTATTGACCAGAAGAAAACCAAGCATGTTGTTAACAGTATCTACAAAGATAAAAAAGAATAAACATTTCCATGATTCTGAGGTTAGCTTAAGAAAATAGAAGGCCAATCTGGATGGTTGTAAATTCTCAGAACATTAGCCCTGGAAGGGACCTTGGTCATAAACTCTAACCCTCCTTTTTTGTTGTTTTTGGATGTGATTACCTGGGCCCTAAACTTCCATCTTTTCCTCAGTGGCCGAATTTTTTGGCTAAAGTTTTCCAGATAATTGATTGAACTTTCCAGTTTATTTTCTCTATCTAGCTATAACTTTTTTTGTGCGTATGTCCAAAGTAAGTACTAAAGTTTAAAGATATATGCTCATTTTTTATATTCATTTTTCAATAAGAAGGATTCTCTTCCAAAATTCTCAGTTCTGACTGTATTTTCTTTAGGTAAATTACAAAAAGAAGGTGCTTTATCACAAGTCTCTGATGAAAGCCTCAGTAAAGTTCAGGAAGTGGAGTCGCCAGTATTTAAAGAGCTGCCAGGCGCCAAGGCTCACGATGACAGTGTGATCCCGCTCACGGGGCCGGCAGGGGAGACCGCCGGGACCTCGGAAGCCACATCCATGGGGAGCAACCCCCGGGTCGCATACGGTAAGAATGCCTGGAGAGCCCGGGTTATGTGGTAGCCCAGAGAAGTTCCTCAGGGAAGAACCAGCCCTGCCTGGGGGTGCAAAATCTGGTTTCAATGCACGAAAGTATCCCCCAGTTTTATGTTTTGACAAAACCTAGAGGCTGAAGAGGCCTCAGGAGCCGACCCTGCAGTGAGCAGGGCAAGCTTACTCTCGCCCTGGGCTTTTCTTCCAAGAACTATTTATAGTCTTGTCAGAGGCGCCGGGGGCCACCCCCTGTGTGCGCTGCACGTGCAGCTCTTCCTGCTGCAGGCGTGACCGGCTTGCTGAGGACGGTTTACTCGGTTTGCTAGCGATGCCCTCCTCACAGAAGATGGGAAGAGAAAGCTAAAATCGTAACGAAGGAGATGGACCTGCCATCGAATCCCAGAAACCTTAGAAAACATCCAGACCATCCTGGGGGTGTCCTTTAGCCTCGTAACGTTTGTGGACACACCCAAACCTGCCTGGGTGGCTCCCACCTCTTGGGGAGGCAGGGCCCTGCCACAGCTGTGGTCTCAGACATGGCCCAAAGAAAGCACGTTAATTTTGCTTCACTGGTCTGATACTGCCTTTGACAGACATGATTGACCTTTTAAGAAGCACCTAGAATATCTGTCTCATGTGAAGTGAGTTTTGTCTCAAATATGAGATTTTTCTAAAATAAGTTTCTTTATAACAGGGGTCCCCAACCTGGGGTGAGTTGTATAATTATTTCATTATATATTACAATGTAATAATGATAGAAATAAAGTGCACAATGGATGTAATCTGCTTGAATCATCCCGAAACCGTCCTGGTCCATGGAAAAATTGTCTTATACAAAAACGGTCCCCTGGTGCCAAAAAGGTTGGGGACCACTGCCTTACAAGGATTCTCCCCTTCATGGGCACTAAGAGAGGAGAGAGTACTGGAGTCATTTCTGGAAAATACTTTTTAGCAGAACTTAACTTCTTTTTTAAAATACCATGTTATTAGTTTTATCCTTTCACTGTATGTTTCCAGGTTTCTTTTATTTCATTATTTTAACCATATCACATGCCCTTTATAGTCAATTTAGAAAATGAAGTATTTGGGAAAAAATTAAAATCATTCATAATCCAACCACCAGAAAGTCCATGAAACGGCAGGAAGTATTTCCTTCCAGATACGGTGTGCGCCCAAAAGGCTAGAAAGTGAGACCTTTTTTAACCCGTTCCAGGAAGGGCCCTTTCCATGACTCACGGCTCTGTGAAATCGCCCGTCTCCAACGGCACCTTCGGCTTCGACGGGCACACGAGGAGCGACGGCCACGTGTACCACACCGTGCACAAGGACTCGGGGCTCTACAAAGACCTGCTGCACAAAATCCACGTGGACAGGGGCCCGGAGGAGAAGCCGGCCCAGGAGAACAACTACAGGCTTCTGCGCCGGAACAACAGCTACACCTGCTACACGGCCGCCATCTGCGGGCTGCCCGTGCACGCCACCTTCAAGGCTGCCGACTCGTCCGCACCGGAGGACAGCGAGAAGCTGGTGGGGGACACGGTGTCCTATTCCAAGAAGAGGCTCCGCTATGACAGCTACTCGAGCTACTGCAACGCGGTGGCCGAGGCCGAGATCGAGGCCGAGGAGGGCGGCGTGGAAATGAAGCTGGCGTCAGAGCTGGCGGGCCCCGAGCAGCCGCGCGAGGACCCTGCGGAGGAAGAGAAGGAGGAGAAGGACACGGCGGAGGTCCACCTCCTGTTCCATTTCCTGCAGGTCCTCACCGCCTGCTTTGGATCCTTCGCTCACGGCGGCAACGACGTGAGGTAGGTGCGCGCCTTCGTTCGGCAGGAGGGCCTGCGGGCGCGGGAGACGCCAGCTTGCGGCGCGGGGGAGACCCTGCCCTGGCGGGGGCGCGAGACGGCAGCCGGGCCCCGTAAGTCGCGCGGCCATAAATGCCAGCGGGAGAACGAAGGGGAAGGTGCCGGAGCCTGGGGCGGCAGCGGGACATCCGCCACGCAGGGCGGCGCCGGCCGGCGGGTCTGGCGGAGGGCCGGGCCGCGCCGCGCCGCCGCGCAAGGGGGACAGCAGGCGCGGGCCCGGGGCCAGGCGTGCCCGGGCGCTCAAAGAAGAACACGGAGGCCGCGGCGGGGCCGCCGGGACACGGGTCAGCGGGCCGTGCCCGCCCGGAGACACGGGCGTGTGGACGTAGAGGGGCCTGAGCGGCGCTGCCGCGGGGCTTTCATGTTGTGACCGGGCCGGAGAGAAGCAAGGGCGTGGGCGGGGAGGCCGCGGGGGTGACCGCGGCAATCCAGGGGGAGCGGGACCGCGCAGGAGGCAGAGGGGCAGCGGGCGCGAGGAGAAGCAGGCGGGTCCAGCCACCCTGGCCCCAGCACTTCGGAGAACAGAGTCGCCACTTCTCAGGGAGGGCGACCGACTGGGGTGGAGCGGAGAAGCTTGCAGCTGGACATGTGAAGTGTGAGATGCTGTGACATGCAGGTGACAAGCTGAGCAGACAGCAGGCTGCGTGCGCCCGGGTACAGGGAGAGGCCGGGCCACAAGGCAGGTGCGGGCCTGCGCTGTGCAGAGCCGGTGGTGCCGGGCGGCAGCACCTGAGCAGCGAGGCGAGGAGGCAGGGCGTTGAGTGCTCTGGGAACCTGGCATCCAGGGCTGTGGGAACGGCAAGGAGGCAGCAAGGACATGTGTCGAACCAAGAAGCTATAAGAACTTTCTAGAAGCTGATTTTTCATGTACATTTAGCAGTAACCTGGAAACTGACACTTATGCACCCTTAAAATATTTTTTCTATTTTTTCAAAAATGCCTAACTTGTTACTAAAAGGTGTTTTCAAAACCACAAACACAGCCCAGCCTCGGCGGCTCACACCTGTAATCCCAGCACTCTGGGAGGCTGAAGCAAGAGGATCGCTTGAGCCCAAGTGTTCAAGACCAGCCTGGGCAACATAGTGATACCCCCATCTCTACAGAAAAATTTTAAAAATCAGCGGGCCATGGTGGCGAGCACCTGTAGTCCCAGCTATCTGGGAGGCTGAGGCAGGAGGATCACTTGAGCCCAGGAGTAGGAGGCTGCAGGGAGCTGTGATCACACTGCCACACTCCAGCCTGGGTGGCAGAGCAAGACCATCTCAGAAATAAAAACCAAAACCAAAAAAAAAACCTGTAAACAAAATATTAAACTTCTAGGCTGGTAATTTATCAGCTTTCTATTCATTCGTTTGTTTGGTCAGTCAGCAAACATTCATTGAGCACCTACCGTATGCCTGGTAGTATATGAGGCTCCAGAGCTAGAGAGGTAAGATGTGGCCTGCACCCCGCCCGTCCCTGTGGGGGTGCAGCTGCATGAGCAGACACCCACATCTGGGCACTGTGTTTGCGGAGGGAGCTGGGCCCTGGGTGCATACAGCGTGGGGCACAGGGAAGAACTTCAAGGGAGAGGTGACGTTGCCACAGGGTCTTGGAGGCCTAACAGGAGTGTGTCAGGCAGAGAAACGGGGCCTGGGTGTTTTTGTGTAGAGGAAGTACAATATACTGAATCTCCACGGCCTTGTGTCCTCACCTGTGAGATAGGGAAAACTGCACTTCCCTGCAGAGCTGCTGTGAGGAGGAAGCGGCGTTTGTAAAGCACCTAGAACCTGGCGGCAGGTGGCAGGCACACGCAGTCCCAGCCATCCGAGTGGCAGCGAAGGTGTGAGGTCAGCAGGGCAGGAGTCTGGTGGGAGCAGCGCCCATCAGGAGAGCCTGGTGGCCGTGGTCACACTGGTGACAGGAGGACAGTGGCGTTTAGGAGAGGTGTGCAGAACCCGGGAGGCCTGACCAGGGGTCCGCTGCTGGGGAGGGTCACTTTGCAGGCTGGGCTCCCTGGGTGAGATGATTGTCGGGCTGTGCAGCTGGACAAACCCCAGTGACCGAGCACTTTCCTTCAGTGGCATCTTTAATACCAGTGACAAGGCCCAACACCGCTCGGGGGCTCCGCTTCCCCGCTGCACGAGGCAAAGCAGCCTGTTGACAGTGGGCTCTTTTCGCGAAGCCCAGTGACAGCGTGGCAGGCATCTGCAAAGGGGGTGACCCTCCAGCCCCGGCCCCACCAGCCAGCCACACACCCAGGCCTGGCTCTGCAGGAAGCCGGACAGCCTCCTGCTCCCTTCTGTGCAGCCCTGGATGAGCCACTTTCCCAAAGCCTCGGTTTCCCAACCTGTAGACTGGGGGTAAAACAAGCACCAGCCTCATGGGGTTTCCGTGAAGATTCCGTGAGCAACTTTGTGGATTGTGCTGGGACGGTGCTCCTCCAATACTCAGAATCTACACATTGTCACTGCGACTATTGCTGTCATGTGGGGCTAATGTTTCTTCCAAACCAGGAAAATATGCGCTTGTCATCTTTTCATTGCCCAGTTGTGACTGCCCACGGGTTGCCATGCACTGTCTACCCACATGCAGCTGCAGCTCTTTGTTGAAGAATTCTTGTCACCAGACAGGCCTGGGCATCTCATGCTCTGCTCAGCATCGTCTGTCTCCATGCTGTTCTGTTGGGGGCACTGCGTTCTGTCCTATCTTAGTAATTTTTATCTGCTGCCCCCACACCACCCCACTTCCTCCTCCTCCTCCTCTTCAACAATTCGTGTTTTTTTAGAGACAGAGTCTCACTCTGTCACCCAGGCTGGAGTACGGTGGCTTGATCTGAGCTCCTGCGCTGCAGTGATCCTCCTGCCCCAGCCTCCAGAGTAGCTGGGACTGTAGGCGCCACCACCACACACAGCTAATTTTTAAAATTTTTATAGAGATAGGGTCGCGCTATGTTACCCAGGCTGGTCTCAAACTCCTGGGCTGAAGCAATCCTGCCTCGGTCTCCCAAAGTGCTGGGATTACAGGCATGTGGCACCGCACCTGGGCAAGAATTCTTTACTGAAGGCCTGGTACCAGTGGAGTGTTATGAATATACGAATGGGGTCTCTGTCCTTTAGGAGTTTAAACTCCAGTTAGGGAGATCAGAAAAACATAAACATGGAAAAGTAAGAACGCATCCAAAAACAGTATTTCAAGTTCAAAGGAAGAATCCAGGTGACTAGAGCAATTACTTGCTTGCAGTTTGGGGACTGGGTTTTGAGGTTTGGGGGCAGGGTTGTCATATGATAAAAGCTAAGTTCTAGAAATAATAATAGGCCAGTGAAGAGCAGCATCTGTTCATTCAACAGAAGGTTAAGTTTGCATGAGGCCTGGGTACCGAACCGTTTATTCTCCTTCGGAACAGCCCCGCGAACTGGCTGAGCGGTAGCTTTCCAAGATGGGACCTGAAGCTCAGAAATGTGAGGTTACTTGCCCAGGATCACACAGCTAGAGAGAAGCAGACTTGGAAGCCGGTTCTTTGTGACTCTCTGTCACACTCTTGTCTACACAGCGGGGTTCGGGGAGGAGACTAGAGCTAGAGACAGCCTGACTGACAGTGACCGTGTTCAGGGGAAGGCCATGAGGGCCTGAGCCCACGCCCAGTCCTGCACCTGCCAGCAACGGTACCTCGGCCTCGGTTTCCTCCCCAGCAGGGTAGGAGCCATAGAGCCCAGCGTGCGGGGTGGTCGTGAGAATTACTGATTAGCAATACCACTTGTGACCCCACAGTGTGGGGCCTGACAGGTCCGTCCAAACTGGTAGCTCGTATTCATAGTGGTAGCGGGGGTGGCACTGAAAATGGAAAGAAATTTGCGGAAAAAGGAAAGAAAAAAAGAAGTTGGTTATTGTGTCCACTTCCTGTGACTTTTCAGTACTTTTTAAAAAATAAATTACACACCTGTTAGGACGGCTACTTAAAAAAAAGAAACAACAGAAAATAACAAGTGTTGCCAAGCACGTGGAGGGCTTGGAGCCCTCGCGGCGGGAACGAGCCAGCAGGAGTCTCCTCGCGCGCCAGAACAGCGCCGCGGGGACCCCGCGGGCCGCCTTCCGGGCGGCGTCCGTCCCCTCCGCCCGCCGCGGCTTCGTGGAGCATTCTGTGGAGCATTCTGAACCCTGTTGTCACTTCGACGGTGTTCACAGCTTCTTCTCCAGGAGCAGATTCCGCCTCAAAAAACACTTTTCTTGCTCATCTTGAAGCAGCAGCTGCGGCCTGTTCGGGCTTCGCGGCGAGAGCGCAGGGCGCCGGCCGCGTCCTCCTCCCCGCGGGCCTTCAGCCCTCGGAGGCTTCCACGGGGCTGGAATCAGCTGCTCCCGGACTCCTGCTGGTGCCGGTACTCGGTTCTCCTCCCGTGAGTCGTGAATGTTCGGAACGGCACCTGGAATCGTGAACCCTTTCCGGAAGGTTTTAATTCACTTTGCCCAGATCCCTCGGAGGAATCACTATCGATGACAGGCGTCGCCTTACAAAATGTGTTTCTTAAATAAGAAGACTCGAAAGTTGAATCACTCCTGACCCACGGGCTGCAGAGTGGCTGTCGTGTCCGCAGCATGGACACAACGCTCCTGTCCTGTGTGTCGCCACCAGCGCTCTCGGCTGACCAGGTGCTGTCAGCGAGCAGTAATATCTTGAAAGGAATCTTTTCTCCGGAGCAGCAGTGGGCTTGAAATAGTCAGTAAACCATTCTTTAAACGGATGTGCTATTATCTAAGCTAGAGCACAGGCAGCGGAGACTTAACGTAGTTCTTAAGGGCCTGAGGATTTTCAGGATGGTAAATGAGCGTCAGCTTCAACTTAAAGTCACCAGCTGCATTAGCCCCTAACGAGTCAGTCTGTCCTTTGAAGCCAGGCATTGATTTCTCTTCTCTAACTATGAAAGTTCTAGATGGCATCTTCTTCCAGTGGAAGGCCATTTTATCTACAGTGAAAATGTGCTGTTGAGTGTAGCCACCTTAACTAACAGAGCTTCTGGATAACTTCCTGCAGCTTCTCCATCAGCACTTGGTGTCACCTTGCACTTCTGTGTCCTGGAGACGGCTTCTTTCCTTAGACTTCATGAACCAACCTCTGCCAGCTTCCAGCGTTTCTTCTGCAGCTGCCTCACCTCTCTGGGCCTTCATGGAATTGAAGAAAGTTAGAATCTCTTTCTGGATTAGGCTTGCGCTCGAGGGAATGTTGTGGGTCGTTTGATCTTTGATCCAGACCACTCACACTTCTCTGTGTCGCTTTCTTGTCATGCATCCGTTCAGTGGAGTTTCTTCAGGAACCTTTCCTTTGCATTCACGACTGGCCTGTTCGGCACAAGAGGCCGAGTTTTTGGCCTGTCTCAGCTTTTTACATTCCTTCCTCACCAAGCTTGACCATTGCTAGCTTTTCCTTTAAAGTGAAAGACATGAGCCAGACCCAGCGGCTCATACCTGTAGTCCCGGCAACTCAGGAGGCCGAGGTGGGAGGATCGCTTGAGGCTAGGAGTTCAAGACCAGCCTGGGCAACATAGCAAGACCCTGTCTCTAAAAAATATGAAAAAAACTAGCCAGGCATGGCGAGGTGCACCTGTGGTCCCAGCTACTCAGGAGGCTGAGGCAGGAGGATCACTTAAGCCCGGGAGTGTGAGGCTGCTGTGAGCTATGGTTGTGCCACTGCACTCTAGCCCAGGAGACAGAAACCTTGTCTCAAATAAAAATTAAAAAATAAAGTGAAAGAGGTGCAACTCTTCCTTTCACTTGAACACTCAGAGGCCATTACAGGGTTGTTAACTGTCGTAATCTCGGCATCATTGCGTCTTAGGGCACAGAGACGCCAGAGGAGAGAGAGAGATGATGGAATGGCCTTTCTGGTGGGGCAGCCAGAGCACACACAACGTGATGTTGCGCGGGTGCAGCCACGGTGCCCCACAGCAGTTACAGTCGTAACGTCAAAGATCACCGGTCACAGATCACCGTAACAGATGCAATGACAGTGGGAAGATTTGACATACTGTGGGAACCACGTGCACAGAGGCACAAAGTGGGCACACGCTGTTGGGGAGGTGGTGCTGAGAGACCTGCTTGACACAGGGTGGCCACAAGCATTCAGCTTGTAAAAAATTCACAGTATCTGCAAAGTGCAACAAGGTGCAGCACGACAAGACGAGGTATGCCAGGATTGTGTACAGCGCCAATTGTGTGTGTCATTGATGTTCTTTCTTCCCCAGTAATGCCATTGGTCCCCTCGTCGCCCTGTGGCTGATTTACGAACAAGGTGCAGTAATGCAGGAAGCAGCTACTCCTGTCTGGCTGCTGTTTTACGGAGGCGTTGGAATCTGTATGGGTCTCTGGGTTTGGGGGAGAAGAGTGATCCAGACCATGGGGAAAGACCTCACCCCAATCACACCGTCCAGGTAAGCCAGCAGGTGGGCTGGGGGGACGGGGCTCATCCTCGAGGCCTGTGCGGGGCCCCTTGGTGCAGGTGGCCTGCAGCCCGTGGTCACAGGAGAGGGCAGCGGGCAGGAATGGCCCCTCCCCCTGGCACCACCACGCCACTGCCCTGCTCCCCACCTGTGTCCACAGGGCCGGAGAGGAGGGGCGGGAAGATCAGAGAAGGTGGGAGAAGCTGAGCAGCGCGGAGGGGAGGGGGAAAGCGCAGCCCACCCTGCAGCCCCTGCCCCGTCCAGCCACTGTTGGGTTTGCCCAGTGTGAGTCCAGAGGGCAGCAGGGAGGGAGGGGTGCAGACTGCTCCGGGGCCCAGGGCCGGCCTTTCCAGAAAGTTCTCTGGCCACGCCAGCTCTCACCGGCCATCCTTTTGGGGTTGCCGCTTGTGTCCTTTCTCTCACTCGGGTGGCCCTGCCGTCCTGGTGGGTCTCAGGCTCTACGTGTGTTTCCTCTGTCGTGCGGCCCTTAGCTGTATGGGGTTAAATAAGCTCACCAAGGAACTTTCAGAACACAACCAAAATTTAGAGCTACCTATTGTGGTAGACCTTTTTTTTCCTCTTTCTCTCAAACATATTGGAGTGTCTATAACCAGTCAGTAACAAAAAGGTTTTTAAAATTTTAAAATTAAAAAAAAATCCTGGAGATTTTCTTTTCTTTCTAATTTTAAGTATTCCCCCTTGAAATTTATTTTAATAAAGATTTCTTTATGAAAATGGAAAGAAATTTGCGGAAAAAGGAAAGAAAAAAAGAAGTTGGTTATTGTGTCCACTTCCTGTGACTTTTCAGTACTTTTTAAAAAATAAATTACACACCTGTTAGGACGGCTACTTAAAAAAAAGAAACAACAGAAAATAACAAGTGTTGCCAAGCACGTGGAGGGCTTGGAGCCCTCGCGGCGGGAACGAGCCAGCAGGAGTCTCCTCGCGCGCCAGAACAGCGCCGCGGGGACCCCGCGGGCCGCCTTCCGGGCGGCGTCCGTCCCCTCCGCCCGCCGCGGCTTCGTGGAGCATTCTGTGGAGCATTCTGAACCCTGTTGTCACTTCGACGGTGTTCACAGCTTCTTCTCCAGGAGCAGATTC